ATCCAACGACAACGCAGCCGGCCGAAACGTAAAATGACGTTCCCATTACGTGACTGTGATATTGAGGCAGTATGTCAGGAGTTCGAAGAAAGTGATAAGCGCATAATTGCTCTCATCTATGATGACTATGCCAATGCACTTCGGCAGGCAATCACCACACGGTCGATTATGAGAGGCTCAAGCGGGAAAAGACGGCTTGTACCGTGGTGGGATGCTGAAATCCGGAGATCCATCCAACTCAGGCAAGACGCAAACCGAGACCATCGCCGGGCTCTGCGGACGCTTGGAAAAGCACCGGAGACTCTGCGACTCTGGGAGGAATACCAGAAGCTCAAGGCAATAACACAATCTATTGTCGAGGAGAAAAAAGTGAAAGCCGCTTACAACTCCCTGTAACGCCGAATTAGAGCGCAGCTCTTGAGGAGGAGGAGGGAAGGGCGCTGGGGGGGGGGTTAGACTAACCAGTGGGGGGTCACGTGTCCTTGGGGGGTCACGTGACCTTGGGGGTCACGTGACCCCCAATGCCGATGATGTCATCAGTGACGATGACGATGCGGGTACCGATGACGTCATTAGTGACGTCACTGATGACTTCACCAGTGATGATGACGATGACGATGCGAATGTCGGTGACGTCATCAGTGACGTCGCTGACGACGTCATCAGTGATGATGACGATGACGATGCGGATGACGGTGACGACATCAGTGACGTCACTGATGTCGTCATCAGTGATGATGACGATGACGATGCGGATGTCGGTAACGTCACCGGCATCCACATCGTCATCGTCATCATCACTGATGACGTCACCGGCATCCACATCGTCATCATCACTGATGACGTCACCGGCATCCACATCGTCATCGTCATCATCACTGATGACGTCACCGGCATCCCCATCGTCATCGTCATCATCACTGATGACGTCATCATCACTGATGACGTCACCGGCATCCACATCGTCATCGTCATCATCACTGATGACGTCACCGGCATCCACATCGTCATCGTCACTGATGACGTCATCATCATTGATGACGTCACCGGCATCCACATCGTCATCGTCACTGATGACGTCACCGGCATCCACATCGTCATCGTCATCATCACTGATGACGTCATCATCACTGATGACGTCACCGGCATCCACATCGTCATCATCACTGATGATGACGTCATCAGTGATGATGACGATGACGATGTGGATGCCGGTGACGTCAAAAGTGTCGATGACGTCATCGGGGGGTCACGCGACATCGGCGGGGTCACGTGACCTCGGGGGGTCACGTGACCTCGAGGAGGGGGTCACGTGACCTCAGGGGAGTCACGTGACCCCGGCGGGGGGCTCGCGCGGTGCATTATGGGAAATTTCCCATGATGCACCGCGCGGTTACGCCGACGCCGACGGCGACGCCGACGCCGCTCAAGCCAGAAACGGGCCCCTAAGAGCTGCGCTCTAAAAACAGATACATGATTGCAAGGTGATGAAAGATATCAGAAAGGGTGGAAAAAGAGCCGGAGAGAAGTTCTGGCGTTATATTGGAACACTGGATGGAAGAGATAATTCTCCCCAACTGATCGATGCCAAAAATGGAGGTGTAGTGCACAACGTTAGAGCTCTCTTGGATGAACACCTTCACAATCTTTTTGGGACGACACAGGATTTCCACGGTAATGAGAGCGTGTCAGCAGGAGGCCCTTATATCAAAGATCCACCGCTACTTAATTTGACGAGTGACAACACCACCATCGTGGGAAGAGTACAGGTCGCACGCGCTCTCGCGCGGTTGAACGGCGGCACTGCGCAGGGCCTGGACGGAATCCCGGCTAAGGTACTGAAAGGCCTGGGACCCGACGCTCAAGAGCAGTTGGCCCACTTGTTCAGTCGCATATGCTGCGGAGATGACCCGATCCCCACTGACTGGAGGCGCGGTCGAGTAACCTTCATCTCGAAAAAAGGTGGAAACAAGCAGCTGTTGCATGACTACCGACCGCTCACCGTCACGGCAGTTGTATACAGAGTATTCACGACTATCATCAATTGGCGAATCACAGCATGGGCTGAGGGAGCCGGCGTGCTTACGGAACTGCAGAACGGGTTTCGAGTTGGGCGGCGGTTGGACGATAACCTGTTTACATTGACCCAATGCATCGAGATAGCGCGAGCGGAGAGGCGACCTTTGATATGCTGCTTTCTAGACATTGCTAAAGCGTATGATTGTGTCCCTCACCTAATGCTGCTGGAAAGGCTGAGACACCTTAATATGCCCCAAACATGGGTGAGGTTGATCCGTCGGTTATACGACGGCAATGTGGTGACGACATCCTTCAATGGTGTGACATCAGGCGAGGTCACAGTTGGAAAAGGTTTACGACAGGGCTGTCCGTTGTCGCCGACGCTATATATGCTATATGCCTCTAGCATGGAAAAGGCCATTGAAGACTCTGGCATTGGTTTCACTTTGGAACACCGCCAGCATGGTGATATTGTAGCGTGGCGACTCCCTGGCCTTGCCTATGCTGATGACCTCGTGCTGATGGCCGACAGTGTGGAAGACATGAGGAGGTTGCTCGTCGCCTGTGAAACTGCAGCGGAACACCTCCGACTACGCTTCAATGCTGGCAAGTCAGCGACAGTCATCTTTTCTGGCGAGGGGTGCAATCTCGGGTCGCTCATCCTGCAAGGCTCAGCCATACCTCTTCGCACCGAATACAGGTACCTCGGTATAACACTGTCGGCTAGAGAGGACTACTTGACTGAGCACCATGAGGGCCTCAGGAAGTCCTCAGTTAGCAAGCGGAACATACTGCGAAGGCGGAGCCTATGGAGCTGTGACCGGTACATTGTCACCCGAGAACTTTGGAAGGCTGTGGCTGTGCCCGGGCTGACTTTCGGAAACTCAGTCATATGTGTTCCTAGTTAGCTACGCACATATCTCGAGCGGCGCCAAAGGGAGGTCGGACGACAGGCACTAGGGTGTCATGGACAAGTAGCCAATGAACTGATAGAAGGCGATGTCGGCTGGTCTTCCTTTGAAGCGCGGGAGGCAAACAGCAAGCTTCAGTACTACACACGTCTCCGGTACATGAACGGAGACCGGTGGGCCAGGCGAGTTTTTATGTACATTCACCTGAAGCATATCAACTCGACATGGAGGAAGCGAGTCACTCGTCTTGGGACAAAGTTTAAGATCTTCAGCTTGGCCACTGAACCTCAAACAGAAAAGGAGTGGATGAGCACAGTGCGGGAGGAAGTGAAGAGGGTTGAGAGGGACCGTTGGATGAGCGGCATGCTACAACACCCTTCCATGCACATGTACGCGTCTCTGAAGACGGAGATTGCCCCGGTGACTTTCTGCGGGAACACACTGGGCAGTCGACTACTTATAGAGGCCCGTGGTGGTGCCCTACGTACCCGCCTATACCGAAGCAAGTACGATAGCAGCGTGACTGACACGGTATGTAGTGCGTGTGGAGCGGGCGAAGAGACAATCGACCACTTGCTGCTTGCGTGCAGGGCGCTACACCCAACGCCTGTCGTGGGTGCGCGCTTGGAGCAGGCACTTGGTTTCACCATCGAACAGACCCATGTAGCATGCTCCAAGCGGAGGCTCGAGGCATGGTGGCAGACTCGACTGAAAAATCGGTGTCGTGACCAAGACGACCAAGGTGACCAAGATGGCCAATAGCCGCTGCTTTACTTTTGGCTGGAGGGGCAAGCGTTCACTTAAAACGACGGTGTCATGTGAACTGATTAACTTTGACTTTGCGAAAGTGACGGTTGGCGAACTTTGGACACACGTGCTAACCAGTTCTCTTTCGTTGTTGTCCTTTTTTTATTTAGTTTTTATTTTTTGCTTTTATTGGCATGTCTTACAAGACTCTCGTTACAAAGAGATTGTGCCTCAAGTATACATACATGCATACATACATACATACAAGACAAGCGCCGAAAGACTAGGACAAGGTAAGAAGACGACGACAAAAGGCGCCACCAGAAGTGCTGGGGCTCTTCAATGGCTGTCCGCCTTCCCCTGGCCATGCTAAGCGAATGTGCAAGATCATCAGGTCAGAGACTTCGCGCCTAGTGTCGTCGTCTTCTTACCTTGTCCTAGTCTTTCGGCGCTTGTCTTTTCCCATTATAAACCAACTGGCCCAACTCACAATTTTGTTGCAATTCACGTCTGCATATATCAAGGCAAATGAGTATGTCACGCTCCAAGCGGACATTGGCGATGACTCCTCCACCTAAGGTGCCGACCGAGGCGGAATCACGTCGTCATCGCAAGGTCATCATAAAATAATCATAGGTTTACCGCAATATGCATAAAGGTACATTATGTTCCGATAAGATGTCGCAGCTATTGCTGTACTGTACTGTTGATTCATACAGGACAGATAAATTTTTCTCCCTCACCCGCGCCACGACGCTAATGAAGAGCGGAGTTTTCAAACCTTCTTGGAATTACCCAGAAACGAGTTGACGAAGCGACGGTATAGATGGGTGAAAAGCCGCCCGGCAGCTGCAGGTCCCCGTAAGTTGAAATATATTCAACTCCAAAATGTCATCGGTGACATCACACGATTAGCTAGAACTTTGCGGCCTACGAGACCCGCAAGACGCAATCGGGTTTAGAACGCGCTTAAAACTCGTCATGAATTCAAATCAAGCTTCTGGTTTATTGCACTAGAGGTGGCAAAACTTTATTGTATTGGTGTACAAAATAAGGATAACCGAATTCTGCCTCTAGGCGTACTACAAACGTGCACAAGTGTTAATCTCATGAACGCTAAACGTCAGCTAAATACTATTTTTTTCTTTTTTTAAGGAAGCCGTGAAGGACTTGTAAGCATTTTAAAACATACAACCGAAGAGAATACAACATTTATGCCTCTGATTAAAATTTAAATCTCCGCCATTGAAGACAAAAGTTGCGAAACCTGGAACAAGGTCCAAAGTATAAGAGTGCGGCTCTTTGAGCGCTTTATGCGCAAGCTCATACTTCGGAAGGCGGACGTTTATCTCCAATTGGTATGTCCTCCACCGGGGGCCTGGTCTCCAACTGCAGAGCCCCTCCACCTCCAGCCTCTAACTTTTGGGCGTTCCTAAGCTTCTCTTCCGACAGCGACAGGGCCTCGGCCTCCTTCGGTTCCATGTAGCCTCTCTGCACCATGAAGAGGCGATACAGCCTGCGCTGTTCCAGATTCTTGGGTCCCCAGTTGTCGCGAGGGCGAACTGCCTTACGGAGGTCCTGGTGAGAATTTAAATTAAACGGTGATTAGTTCCCCTATGCTCATTCACATATATTTTTAACTAGACTTAAGTTGCGCTTATTATTTTACCGCTCACTAACTACGTCATCGCCCAGAGTCAACGATACTAAATAACTCAGTTGGGAAACTCGTCCTTGAAATCTGGGCCGCTGGCGTCCACCAAGACCGAACTAAATACGGCAACAGCGCCACTCTTTAGCGACGAGTTGAAACCTGAAAGTTGCTTTATATGGCTACTGCAAGATGGCCCTGCGAGATGGCGCCACCGGCCCTTCCGTAATTCGACGCAAGTGGAACCAGTAAGTGCAGCCGTGCAGATCACGGAGGGGCCGCTGCGGGAGAAATGGCAGCGTTGCGATCGCCATTAGCTCGGTACTGGGAGAAGAATCGGCGCCACTTTTACAGAGCAGGCTCTATGGCAGTTTCCCAACTGAGGGGTTCTAATAACGTTGCCCAGAGTGATCATCTGACAAACAAAAATGGCAACTACCGAACCCACAATGACGACCAGCGCCATGACAAGGCACTTTTGGCGCCCCTTGATTGGCTACATCGGGTCATAACGTCGGCTTTGGTCGGACTTCATGTGAAACGGGTATAGTGACGCTTTGTGGTTACGGGTGGGTATTTCAAAGGTGCGAATTGCCTTCGTGAATAACGTGAAACGGACTTGCATCATCGTCAAAACAAGTGCTTTCGCGCATCCTATCTTACATGTATACGGGCACAGCCAACTCTCAGCAACAGTTTGTCTCAATCCCAGGCAGTGGACCTTTCGCCTTCCGGGAATTTATGAAGGACGGGCTATCAATAGAACGCACCAATTATTAACGGCACAAAGCTGAACACACCTAGTCGTAGCGTTTTACGTTAGCAAACATCCAACCATACTCTACCGCTGCTCATTAATAATAACCGAGCACCTCTTGCGTGAGTTACTTCGTGCCTATTGTTATGACACTTTCCCGACGAGGAATCGTGCTACTAATTCGTCACTTTCAACAGGTGATTGAACTCGTTTTTTTTTCAAGGCGAGATTATTTCTCTAACAAACATCAGTGTAGAAACCGTCACCGCCTTCACAATTATTGCTCATAGCGCGCTTAGAAGATAGCATATAAAAGGAAACTGGCTCACAAAATAAAAGCTGCGGTGGCAAAGTGTATATTAACAAGCCTGAGACTACGATCACGTACTGCTTAATTTTAACCGATTACTCTTTCGTAAGTTAACCCGAAATTGTGTTCGGGTCGCTGCAGACATAACTTTGTTTAGTCGAAGGAAGACATCGGGTGTTCTTCAAACAACATTTAAAATAATTTACTTGTGAGTTAGCCAGAACACAGAACACGCGATTACAAATCATGGTGACCAAGGTATAGATCTCAGCGAGTGAAGCTCAGAATATCATTAGACGCCAAAAAAATTCAAAAAGAGAAAGAATCAATGATTATGACGTGTCACTTGCTTAGTATCCCTATGCACATTGCCTTCTTGAGATGCAATTGTATTGTGAAGTTTGTCATTCGCCTAGAGCCATGGTAGTTATTGTCATGACTAGATTCGTCATAGTTAATCACGAAAGTGAGTTAACGGGTGTCTAGGGACAAGACTCCCACATAACGGCCTCTGAATAAAAGTCACAGTAAACAAGAGCGGTATGCACACATCGCATACCCAGTCAGCGTTCCGGAGTTCGATGACAACGAAGATGGGGATAAAGGACAGTCCGATTACCACGAAAGTGATTCCGGCCAGATTAGCCGCCAACGGGTACACGTAGTCCTCAAGTTTTGCGAGCTGGGCGGTCGCTAGTGAAGCGATCGCCAGGATCTGTAATTAATGGAGAAAGAAAACATGCCCATTCATAATCCAGTAGTGTTAAAGAATAAGAAATATACTGTAAAGGAACAGGTTGCTAACCAAATGCTGGCATATGCTGAGCTAACAAAGCGGTGATTAAATCCTGGCGGATAAAAACGGCAAAAAAAGAGTCTGCAAAAAATCTATTACCTTTTTTCGTGACGCCAGCGTTTATTCTTATCCTCTGTCTCATGCGTTTGAAAAGACCAGCAACACGCACAAGCAGGAGAAAAGGCACGCGGCGTTCACAAAGAACTCTTCTCTTATTAAACACATCCGTATGTTCGCATGAACGTTCACGGTAGATTCGTGAGAAATAGAAAACATCCGAAGGTAGCCTCAATATCAAATTTTCTTGCAAGGTGGAGATTTGATGCGATCAGAATGAGAGTCCCACTAAAAAGAAATAAAGTTCAAACATAATCGAGACCGATCTTCATGTTCATTCTCCCGTTCCTGGATGCAGTCCTCGTGGTTTGAGGATATCGGTATCTCCAAGTTGAGTGTTCCGAATTGACGAGGACACTCGTCATAGCCTTTACCAGTCACATGCACACAGGCCCACCTGAAGCTTAACGCCGCCACGGGACCGTACAAAAATGCGGAGAAATTCCCAGTAGCTTGGCGATTTGTCAGTTGCACAATAAAGTGCACTATTCACCTCGGATCGTGTAGTGAGTTGTGACCAAGGACTTGGCAAGTGAGCGGACAGGTGTCGCAGCAGTTAGAGTGGTAGAGTAGCTCCAGAACCGTCAGTACAAAGGATATCGCCAAGCAGAGTTACATTTTTTTTTTTTTTGGAAGGGGTGGGGGGGGGGGGGGGCATTGAACTTCGTCAAAAATCAGCTAAGCACGTTTACCCTTCAGCAAACAACTCGTAATTCATAGAAAAACAATAGGCTCCTTTCAAGAGTGCGCGCCTTGTAGTAGAGGTTGCGCCAGTTATCCCAGGCCCCTATTGTTTGAGCACGCGCTCTGATCATGTAATACACACAAGGGCTTCGTCAGCGTTTAACGTGAGCTGGGCTCAGTTTGTATCGAGAACGAGTGATCCGTCTGTAAACGCCGATGGTTCGAATCCAATCATAGGCTTCTTGCCCAAGAAACAGCAAGAAATGCTTAATGTTGTTGGTTTCTTTTTTTTTTTTTAATTCGTGTTGAGGACGTCAGAAATTTAATAGTGGTTCGCGTAACGCGACACCTTGGCTCAGTTTTCAGTGGGCCTATGCAGAAACCCTACGGAACGACCCACTGGGTCAGCTACGGCAACTCTCAACTTCAGCCACTTACGATGGCACACGCTGGGCACAAGTACTTCCAGCTGTAGTACGTCAGTTCAGAAGGCGGCTGGCCCAGCATGAACTCCATGTCCGTCATTAGACGCCTGATGCCTGCGCAAATGAGTTCGAGTTCCAATCGGCAGCGTCGGGGCAGCTTCATGCTGGCTTCGTCTGTTGAAGGCGCTTTGTAACTGCATCACAAGACGTCAGTAAAGGTATATGCAAAACAGTGTTTTAGCGAAAACTTTGTAAAAATTCTACAGACACCAAATAGGCAGCCGATCATTCAAAACAAAACCCTCGGCTTTTTTAATTAATCCCCGCTTAAGCTCGGCTTTATGGCGAGGCTGCCGTTAGTTCGATTCACACTGCATGCTTCTGGTTCCATTATGTGTGTTGGTGTTGTGCTGGCGCACGTTCGTGTAAGAGCTTCGTCGCATACACTGTAGCAGCAAATGACAAACACTGCTCACAGACGTGCAAGAAGTGTTGCTTTACGCTCAAGTGCCACCAACAGTCATCCAAAGGACATGGTTTTAAATAAGCGCTACTGCGGAAAATTACTGGGGTCACCAGAAACCATGTTTTGTTATGTCGGCCTACCAAGAGAAGTGCTTTTCACACCGGTGGATATCGACCTTTTTCGTTTACTCTCGTCCCCATCCACCTCATAGGCATATCTGCTATGGGCGACGAAAGAAGAATCAACTATTTCTATCTCTAAATAGTAAAATAAAAATAGGGGGAAGGCAAAACGAGAATAGGTAATGGTTATGGTTATATCCTAAATGTATTCTATTGACAAGGCGGCGGTAAAACGATGCTTTCGCCCATACTGGAAGTGACGACAGTTCAAGATGGCGGCGCCCTTGTGAAAGAGGTCTATAGGTCGCCACCATGAGTGATGGAAATTTCAGGGCGTTTCGTTAGGAGCTAGAAAGCTACCAGAAAGGCATATTAAATCATATGAAAGAGATGATTGCAAGTACCACCAATGGGTGAAGCCATCTTGTGTCTGAGTATGTAGATCGTCGGATAGTCAAGCCTTGCAAAGACCTGCCCACTGTTGGAATGGCCCCAAAACAAAGCATTTCTCATTCATGGTGGTCAGACCCACTTTCGAAGCTTGGCCTCTTGAAAACATCTACAGGCATCTGGCACCTGACGTCACTTCCTGAGACTCTAACAAGCAGCACGTTCGATTCAAATTTAACGTCAATGAGTCTTCTGCGGCCCTAGTATTGATGTCAACTGCTATTTTCTTTATTCGCATGCACAAAATCGATTCTTTGCTAACGTCATCATTGGTGTTCGTAATACACCAAATTAGGCACGCAGCTCAGTCGACGGCGGGACTCAAGAAGTACAATTTGAAACGTATTTTTGACATTTAAGCCGAAACTCACTCCGGTTTTTTCCCTCTTTGGGGCCGCCAAGCGGCGTCTGCCGAGGCTATTTCGCCAGCCGATGAACCCCATTATCGAGCTCCATCCCGTCTGAAGTCATATTAAAGACGGGTAAGTATATATAAATCGAACACTTGCTGATATTCCTTTGTGTTCCCCGTCATATTGGCGTGAGTAGTACATGAACGTAGGAAACAGCGCGAAAAAAAGACGAGGAAGTAGAAGAAACAGATGGGACAAGCGCTGACTACCAAATATAATATTTCAGTTGATAGTCAGCACTCGTCCAGCGTGTTTCTTCTAGGTTCTCGTCTGTTTTCGCGCTGTTTCCTACTATGAATTTCCACAAACTCGCCCAACTATCCAATATTGTTAGTAGATCCCAATACAAAAGAACTCGAGTGATCTGGAAAACGCTGCTTCCGGGGCGCGCCATAGCGGACATGGGCTGAAAGAGTCGGGTGTCACGTACATGGATTCTGGCAGAGATTTGAAGCCGAAAGCAATGTTGCGCCATTGCCTGGTGCAAGTACCCTATACTTGATTACTTCTCTGTCCTCTACTACCACGCTTTCTCATGGTCTTGTGTATCGTTTTTCGCTTCGTTATATTACATTTTTTTTTTTACTTTGGAACTTGAGCTGCGTGTATGCGAATTAAATATGAATATATTAACTTTTTTCACGTTATAAGACTAAACGTCGATGCGTTAACATCCTAAATCTTCAGAAATTGACCGTGAAAACCGCTATCCACACCCTGTAGGCGCATGGCTGGCGCCTTTGTAACTGCGTACCACCACCCACCATATCCAAAGACGAGAGTGACAAGCTCAGCCACTCCAACCCATGGAATCAGATGACTTGACACATACTCATCAAGCAGGTTTATCATGTAAATTCCACCCTAGGAAGAAAAAAAAAGGCCAATTACAGCTTTATTAGAGTGGATATCGAGATTTTTATAGTCGGTGACAAGTTAAGCATTTAGTACAAGCCCTCCCTACAACACGCGCTTGTTACCTTCTGCTGGGCTCTGGCTGTGCATCCGATGGCGTGTTATCAACGGCAGAAATCTCGCGCAGGATTAAGCGCGTCTACTGCATTTGTAACTTGTCACTGCCTTCAGTGTATTTCTTTTAAACTACATATTCGCTTTATTCCAAAAACAGCAAGATAGAAGGCCCAGGAGATCCTCCAATCCGTCATTTTTATGTTGATCGCCATCTGGCGAAATCTACAATTCTGTGTCGTTCGCAATTTTATGCCAAGTGCCAGTTTTTTGCGTCGTTGAACATGTTTTGTCGTTGCCTATGTCGTGTCGTTCGACATTTTGTGGGCTATATAACAGTCTGTTGTTCATCACCTACTAGAACATTTTACACCTTTAACAGTGTAAACCGGCTCGTTCCAGGGCTAACACCCCAAGGGTATTGCAAGAACACCCTTAGACTTCTAGTGAACATCCAAAAATAGAACGCTGATAGCAGAAGGGTTTGAATTTGGGCTCGTTGACTTACTTCCGAGTGTGACGAAGGTACAGTCTCCGGCGATATGAATGACCCACTGAGAGCGCGTGGCCGAGGCAGTGGCTGGCGGGGGCGCTACGAGCGCTCCGGGCAATTCCATTCTACTTCGAGGGGAGGACGCTCACTCGGGGCTCAGCACAAACTGATAAGCGCGCGCTTTAGCTGAGCCCCGAGTGAGCGTCCTCCCCTCGAAGCAGAAAGGAACTGCCCGGAGCGCTCACAGCGCCCCCGCCAGCCACCGCCTCGGCCACGCGCTCCCAGTGGGTCTTTTATATCGCCGGAGACTGTACATGTGTAAGTGCCCCATCGATAACCCTGTTTGAATCGGAGTTATCGTTTTTACGAGCATGCACGGTGTAAGAGTACGAAACGTGACAAGCGGCGGTTGGAACTGAATCGGTTGTGTGTCTTGTTGGTTTCGCGGTACGTGTGTCTTTCCAACATTAAACCAGTTGCAAGTAGCGCTCTGAGGTGTGTGTCTCTCCTACTCGTCCGTTGTTTTTAGCGATTTTAACCCCTAAAAACTCGCTCGAATATGAGAGCCAAACGCCTGATGTCGGCGTTCCGTGTTTCACCGCGTTCGACGAGTGCAGGGGAGACAGAGGCAGCTATAGCTTTAGCTCTACCCACTAATCGCTCCAATGAGAGCTCGGCGTTCTGACGTCACCGCGCACTCTTTTCGCCTTCTCCCTCTGATTTAATCAGCGCATAAGGACACGGTAAATACGCACGAAAAAGCAATCCCGACCTTGTGGATCGCTCTACCGCCTTATAAATACGCTATTTCGCTGGGGACTACCTCTGCAATTACGAGAGTGGCAATCGTGTTGCGTTGTTCTAATCAATATTTCACGTAATTTTGTAACATCTATTGTCAGATAAATTTGTATTCAAGTAAAAAGCATTGGTAAAGGCAACATTTATTTGAGGTTCTCGCTAGAATGCCTTCGAATAAAGAGATTTTGGTACGGCTAACGCCCTTCAAAAAGGTGTTCGTCATCTTTAAGCACAGCAACCTTTCCACACTTTTCAAGATATGAAAGGTGTTTCATGCCTGTGTTACGTTTAAAATTCTGTGTGAATCAAAATAAAGGAGACAAAAGGGTGTAGCTATGGTTGTAAGTCTCTGGAACATGCTGTTTACACATTTAAGGTTGTAACATTTCTTCGTGCGCATTTTGTGTTGTTTGCCTTTCTGGCATCCATCACCAGCTTGTGTCTCATCATTTGGTTGTTGTTGTTTTTCTAATATAATTTTGTTTTATTTCCGATGACTTTCTCGTTTCTTCAGAAACAAACGCGATCTGTTTTAGATATAGCAGCTTACGAGGCCTGACCAGAGATCGCGAATCTACCGAGGTTTGACGACAAATGGACCTTTTTTTCGAACTTTTTAGAACTATAAGTTCGTTAAAAGCTCAACTGAAGTTCGACTTTTACGAGCATGCGCGGAAAATAAAAAATAGCGAACTCTACCCGCTGGGAAAGTTAGCCACCAGAACACCCTTCTAGGTGTTCTGGTGGCAGCTGTTAAAACCCGTTTGGTCTTCTGAAGTCTAACTTTTAGTTACCGCAGTTGATAAAGCGCTCCACTGGAAATAGAGAGCTCCCTGTTTCGATACCAGGACCAGGCGGATTTTTCAGTCGCGCACCAGTCAACTAGCCGTCGTTGAAGATTTGTGCTTGTCCTTTGTCTCTCTTGTTCCCTTTCTCGAGGGATTATTATCGCTATTCTTGTCCAGCTCGCTTTGACCCTTGCGTTATCATCATAACCTTAAAATGCAGGCCGTTCACCCTTGTTGGTGTTAGACTGGTGGTAGCTATTAAAGCCCATTTGCTCTACTGACGCCTTACTCCTGGTTAGCTTAGTTAATAGAGCGCTCGACTGGAAATGGAGAGGTCTCTGGTTCGATAGCAGGACAAGGCAGATTTCTTTCCGTCGCGTACCAGTCATCTTGCTGTGCTTTCAGGTTTGTGTTGGTACTTTGTCCCCCTTGTTTTCTTACTCTAGGGATTACAATCGTCAATGTCAAACTGCCATCTTTGGCGTTGTAGGTTTAGGAATGCGATGACTCCAAGCTTCTTCGTGCATTTTAAAAACACCACTGAACTTGTAGCTCGCAATTGTTCAAAGTAGTCAAGATCACTACACCTGAGGTCACGGCAAGACAAATACTGGTCGTAACGTCATGAACAGAACCCTTAAGAGGGCGCCACCGAAACATCTCGCCGAGTCCCAATCATTAGCAAAATTGCCGCACAATAAATGCTTTCAAGTAAGAAAAACATAATTCTTTGGGATACGGGCTGCGGAACAGTGACGGTAGCAACAAACAACTCCGAGAACAATCATGAGAAACACGCTCACCTGAGACGCGATGGGCAACCCAAGTAGAAAAAAGAAAACAGCACATGCCAGGGCCAATTTAGACTGATGAACACGGAGCACAGGAAATTCGTCCTTCAATGGAGTCAGAGCACTTTCCACAAAGCCAAACTGCGTCAATGAAATCGCGGCGTTGTGACCACTGATAAGCATCGTCCCAAATCCTTTTTGTCCGTGTAAATAAAAAAAACGCTGTTTTTTTTTTTTGTTTTTGTTTTTTTTTTGAGAACCGCGAAAATTGATTTCTTAACGTATCGGGTTAAGATTTTGTACGATTGAAGATGGCGCGTCTTGTGTATCGAAATGTTAAAGGATGCGCTTACCTGAGTGAAAAGTAACAAATTAATAGAGTGCATTCACCACCTACGTGTCCGTCGGCTACCGGAGTGAGCGTCTGATAGCCGCAACCGCCGAGAGATGGCGGCTGCTGCTGACGTATAGCCCAATGGCCGGAAATAATAATCTTTCTTGTTGGTTTAGTGTTCATTCAGTCTTTTTATGAATAAAAATAACAAAATTATGCAATGCACTGAAAACGCCCCAGTCACATTTAGCTCAAGAACATCGTATGCGGTCTTATAGAACAACGTCTGCGCCCTACCTCCTACCTGCCTCCATCTGTCGGCTGTCGCGCCAATCAGATACCATTTTTTTTTTTTTTGTTAGCAGAGGGCAGCCGTAGGTAGCCAAATCACGCTCTTATATGTTTACTATTTACTTCTGTAGGTCCTTTTTTTTTTCTAAGCTTAGGAAGTAGCATTTTCGAATCATAACCATCAGCAATTGAGCTCGCTCTGCACTAAGCACCAAAATGGCGGCGTCCAGAATCCAGTCGGAGTAATGGAGTGCCGATACTCCAAGCGCGGCCTATTTAGTGGCTCCACCTCAGTTTAAGGTTTACCTCGGAGTCGATGGCAAGCAAGAAGAGCATGGTGAAGAAAGCGACAGACCAAAAGTGGGCTCCTGGAATCTGACTCAGTGCATGCGGGTAAACCGCAAAGGCCAACCCGAATCCTGAGAACAACAATCAACAAGGCATAAGTTTAGGACAACTAAAAAGAGAGTAGCAAAAAATTTACAACGACCTAGAATTTTAAAGTCCTGTGATACATGAAATTCGGCGTTTAAGGAGCGATTCTTTATATTTGTTTAAAATACTTTAAACGGGTATTTCCGGAAGTGAAGACATTATATTTTTATTAATTTTCCCCGAAAAATCTAGTAGGGGAATTGTCTATGAACAAAGTGCACGTGACGTCAGTTTTCCTTAAATACGTGTAAAAGTCACGCCGTGTGAGGTAACGTGACATTGAGTCGTCGCAAAATACAGCGGGGAATTCAGTTTGGTGTACAGGCCGTGTGACGTCATGTTTCTTGCAAACTTTAGCGGAAAAACTGAATTGATCTGTAGGTGGACGACAAGTAAAGGTGAGGTGGCATCAATTTCGTCTACAAGTATAGCGAAGAAAGTGAATTGGTCATGTGACGTCAATTTTTCCGCTAAATTTAGCCGGAAATGCACAGACGGACGGACAGACGAAACGACAAAACTTGAGGATAATGGGGGTTTCGTCAGAAAACATTTCCTGCTTTAAAAAAGCGCCTCGCTTAGACATCCTGCCAAATACAATGAAGGTGCGACAGCGCCAATACGCAGTTCCTGCCTCCCTACGCAGCACCCTTTTCTACGCAGCGGACGGGAGAGGGGAGTGTTAATGCACCGCTTGCCCGCTCCTTCCCTTCGCGCCGTGCAACGTTATTAATCGCGCGCTATCACTTCAAATCAACAGCTGCGCTTCTTTGCTGACACTCTCTATCGTTACCTTGCTGACGTGTGACCAACACGAGCAAGCAGTGCCCCTTGATGGCTAGTTTATGTTGAGTTTCACGTGCTTCCTACATTTCATGGTCTTTATTAAGACATACATTTTATTAAAACATTAAACCAACAGCTGAGTTATGTTCTAATCCACCGCATATGAATCGAGAGCAGCGATTGCTCTCGATTCGGCGTTGGCCACGACGCTCCCCGGCAAGGGCTTGGTGCGCACGCGCTTAATCTCTCCCGTGATGCTGCATTTCTCCGCGGCACGGCACAGCCCGTCCCGGCGGTTGACACTGGCGTGATATTGTTAAAAAAATGGGTGATTGTACTTGTATCTCTTCTACAGTTTGTCTCATCCTACGATGGACTAGAGGCCAAAGCCGCGGACTGCCAGGTCGAATCACGTTTTACACTATGACATGCTGAGCATTGATTACGGGTGGATGAATAATGCTCCGCCTCAAAAAGCGCGGAGGAATCATTTCTATAGCTTCGACACTGCAACGTGCCTGTATATTCTGGATTTCTTTGCAGTGTAAAATGATGAGTCACTCAGTGCTATTCGATTCGAACCACTGTCTGCCCATCCCCATCAGTCATCCGAAACGCGGGCACCGATGCGTGCATCGAAGTGAAATACCACGCAATTTCTAAGTGGCTCGTGATGGCACCTGTCGGCCCGTAGCTTTTAGGCCTCTGGTTCATCGTTCGTTGAGACGAAGCCTAAGCAATACTGAAAAAGGTGGTCGTGACGCTGTTTTATCACTTTACGTAAAAGAAAATGGCGGGCTGCGGGGAGATAGGTTAGCCTCAAATAAACGTGCAGGGGCCCTAATCTGGACGGTTGGCGGAAAAGTCGGCGAGAAATCCTGCGGCTCTGATTGGCCGGCGCCAAGGTCAAGTGCGGCGTCGGAAAATTAGAGCCGCCAGATTTTTCGCCGACGTTCTCGCCAAGTGTCCAGATTAGGGCCCCAGTTGTACAATTCAGGCGTTAAAGGACGGATATAATGCCTATATGCTAAAAACCGAAGTGCGGTTAGAAAAAAGAAATGACTGGCTTCTTGTTTTCGTTTTCTTTCCAGTCAACATTTATTTTTACAGCAGCATTTAGCTAACTTCTGGCAACTTTGCAGAAGCTCACGTCGAGGTATAACCGCGAAGTGCCTGGGTATCCGTGCGTCGCATCTCAGGCAGCACATAAACGTGAAGACAACGTCAAAAGAACGTCGAAGACGTCTGTAATATGACGTCGTACAACGTCGAAGGTCCGGACGTTACCTTCCTTCGACGTCGATGAAACCTTTAAATGTCCGCGAGAAAAGGTGCACAGAAGGTTGAGAAAACGTTCCCAAAGACGTTTGTCACACGTAACATGGACATCTCAGTGGGCCGTTGCGTCCTTCCTCGACGTTTATGATACGTGTGTTTGCGACATCCGGACTACCAACGACGTTCATAGAACATCGAGAAACCATTCCAAATTACGTTCCCTAGGCGTCGTGGAGAAGACGTTGTGTCCCCCCCCCCCCCCCCCCAACTAAAAAAAAAGTACTTTTGAGTATTATTGCGAAGGCAAGTTGCTCTCATGCAAGTACGAAGGAAAAAGCTAAAACACAGGTTTGGTAAGAACTGTTTATTTTAGCATTTTCAGACACGAGATGCAATACAGAGCCCCGCCAAAAGACGCCCCTGGATGTGGCAGCCAGTAGTATATAAAACAAATTCACGTAGAGAAATGAACAAGGGACGATGTGACGCTGTGCGGAATGCTCTACCGCTTACCTCGTTCTGCTTCTGATTAATCTGCTGACGCGCGTGCTTTGCCCACCCCATCGCACATAGCTGGTACTCTTGCTGTGTGCACGGGAATGGTTTCAGAAGTGGTATCCCGTCCGCTGGGCGTTCTTGACTGGGATCGTCGGAGGCGTATGAAGGGCCTTGATCGGAGACTGGACTTGACGCGCCATCATCTGCACAGTCCCTTCTTTTCTGACGGGGCGTCATTCATATCCTCACAGGCACCTTGATCCGAGCAGTAATACGATTCAACGTGTGAAGCGTCATGGCCTTGAAAAAGGTCCGCAAGCCGTGACTGAACACGACGGCGTGTTTGGCGATCACCGGCTTCTTCATAGGGGAGACTTGAGCGACTCAGTCTGGACAGCATTATAGAGAAATCGAATCGCAGCACTTCCACTGTATGCAGACTCGAAAAAAATCACGGCGACAAGCAGCCTGCTTCGTAGACCTCGTAGACGTGACGGCCGGTGCTTTCTCTCGTCAAGCTGCAATGCTGTAGCTTTTTTCCACAGCTCCTTCAACTTTTTTGTACAAGGTGAAAATAAGCTGATTTGATTTGACTGACTTTCGGAAAAAGCTGGACCGGGTTCTACCCAAAGTGAAATATTTTGGGAACGACTGAGAAAATACGTGCACCCGGAACTAACGCTTGTCGATTGTTCGTCGCCACTAGGGAGCCTTCATATGCGCTTAGCTAGGGACATGCCACCCTTTGTAATACCACTTGCCGACAAACCAGCAGCCATTTTCGTTCTCGGCGATAATCCGTGGGGCTTATAACCCTCCCGGAAAGAAGCACCTGATCTCACAAGTTCGGAGCAGCGTTGTGGAACCCACAGAGGGAGGATTAGCATTTTCCCCCTCGGATGGGAGGACCGATGGACACAAAGGCCACTTTGCGACGCAGGGGGAAACAATGAGAGGAACAAAATGGCGGTGGAAGAGGGTCTGGGAAAGGGAAACAGGCAGTTGGCATCGCTCTATGCGAAGCGCGGATGAAGGCACCCTAGTCGCCACTATCTCCCCCCACCTTTCTCTCTCGCCCTCTTCTTGACGAGTTTCCCGACGCATCGCATGGGGCTCTATGGAGATGCCAATGCCATGTCCTCTGCCTGCCTTTCCCCCTCTCCCTCACGCCGCATTAACGCCGGCTGTTTTTTTTTTGTTTTTTTTCGACACGTAGGTACCAGCTGGACTTGAACGCTTTTTCGGCCGTCATCTGGGCCATGCAACGGTTGGCATCATGAGTACCAATCTACACAAGCTGTTTACAGTATCTATCGGTTTTTGGCATTTTATTTTTTGGAGTAGTGTCCAAATAAACAACTTCAATAAAAACAAACTTGTGTCGCCACAGGCCAGGAACGTGGATTGAAGAGCTCACACGAGAGGGAATGCTACACTGTATGTGCTCCGCTTCGACCGCATAGGGCAGCGCCATAATGGTGATCAAGACTACTGAGCCCGACTTGGCTCTGAAGCGAAGCTTGAGAGTTTCAGTACTCTGGGAACATTCAATGACTCTAGACCGTGCTTTACGCATTCCTTTTCTTTGTCTTCGTCCGTGTGGAAAGTCGCGTCAAGACAGCCAGTGGGATTCGCGAGACGAATCCCGGAGAAAAGCTCACCGGAGAAAAGCTCACCGGAGATAAGCTCACCGGAGAAAAGCTCACCGCAAAACCGGCGGATGCGGAGAAAAGCTCACCGGCCATTGAGCGTATGCGGAGAAAATTTGATCACCGATATTTTTTCTTCTTTTTATATGGAGGCTGTTGGATCGAGCGTAACATATATCAATTTATTATCATTAAAATTCGTCAGCTTTGTAAAAAATAAAATGACCTCTTTTGTAATATTTGTTAAGCTTATTGGGTATATTGCTCCCAAATTAATAATTGCGAGAGAGTATTTTTGTGGCTTACTCTCTATGCAACGAAAGCCTAACTAAAATCTTTATAAACTTGAAGAACAGGAAAAATTAAAAAAAAAAAAACACGTAATGATGACTGCCTGAAACCTAAGAATCAGAGATGTAAATGCCGAAAATCCAAAAGTGCACGCGCAGCAACGCGGTGCCTGAAATTCTCTTTGAAGCTTTTGTTAACATTTGAAAACAGGATAAAACAGTCAATAGGATATCGAGGCTTCTTTTTTTCCACGGACATGCACGCTTTCAAGCCGCTCGTGCTTTCACGGACATGCACGCTTTCTAGCCGTTCGTGCTGCATGGTGTTTCCACAGGTTCCCTTTGTGTGTGATAGCGCCTTCTACGGTGAGCCACCCATGACCCTCAGAGCTGCACACTGTCACCGTTGTTACTCGTGAGCTATGTAAGACCTAGTCTTTTGTAAGGTATAGGTAACGAATTGGGCGAGTTGGTAAACGTTAT